ATCATATTTTGTTAATTACTCTTTTTCTTTATTAAGCCTTTTCTTGGGAAGGAGGGCTATTCTACATTACTTGCATTACTATGCGAATTCTAGAATCAACTTGTCCATTTATTCTACCAAGGAAAATATCCACGGGCATTTTGCTTAGTATTATATTGAATCTATATTGATATGAGGGAGAATTGTTATCTCAATATCATGCTGTATTTATAAACTTAATAAATATATTTTTTGCATTTATTTAGGCCTTCTTTAATTTCACCAATATATTATAGTTTTCGCCATTGAGGTCTCATACATCTATTGTCAGATTCATCACTATTGCATATTTTTGATTATCATATATAATTGTTAAATTTCAATTTGATGTTGTTTATTGCTACTATGTAGAAATGCAAGTTACTTTTTTGCATTGTTCTTATATTCTATAACCTTAATAAGATTTAATTAATTTTAATACTATTTTGGTAACTTCCATGGGATTTTCCAGATGATATTATCATCTGAAACAACAATCTTACCTTTTTCTTCCAAATATGGATAGCTTTAATTCATTGTTCTTATTGCACTAGCTGATTTTTGTCAAATACATTTCTTGAGTTTATTTAGATGATCAATTAGTTTTTTTTTTCAGTTTGTTAACATAGTGAATTATATTGATGGATTTTTAAATGTTAAATCAATCTTGCATTGAATATCACTTAGAAGTATTATTTGTTCTGCCTATTGGGAGTCCTGATTTTTTATTTTAATTTAGAAATTTTACATTGATGTTCATAAGGGATATAATTTATAGTTTTCTTACAATGTCTATGTCAGTTTTTCACATCTTAAAAATGCTGACTTCATAGGTTCATAGGGTGAGTTGGGCAGTATCATCTCTTTTGCAATTTTCTGGAAAGAGTTTGTCTACAAATGTACTTATTTCTATTTAAAATGTTTGCACAATTCTCACATCATCTTATTGTAGTGTTTCTTCCATGACAAGTTGTGCTTTTTTTTTTTTTTGTTACTGGGGATTAAACCCATTTCACCACTTAGTTTCATTACTTTACTAGATATAGGACTATTTGGCTGATACGTTTCTTCCTGTGAACTCTGATAGTTTATGGCTCTCATGGAAGTTGCCCATCTTATCAAGTTGTCAAGGTAATTGGTTAGAAATTTAAATACTTTATTGATCTTATTTTCATTGATTAAAGAAACAGATTTTGGTTTCAATGCCTTTCCTAAAATGTTGCTGCTTCATAGTTCATTATTGCTGCTTAGATATTTATTATTTCCTTTCTTTTGGATCAACTGGAATTATTCTCATTTCTTTTAGTTTCTTAAGCTGAGGTTAGTGATATTGTACCTTGTTTTTTTCCTAATATCAATGTTTAGGGCTATAAATATCCACTGAGTATAATTGTAGTGACACTACAAATTTTATATATTTTCTCATTTTCATTCAATTCAAAATACTATAAATTTCACTTGTGATTTCTTTGATACATGAGTTATCTGTTATTGGGTTATGTAATTGCCCAATATTTATACTACCCCCATGTCCCACAAATAAAACTGTGTGGAACATATAGTTACTGTTGATTATCTGGAGAGATCACAGAGCAATAACATTGTTAATCCTTTCTGATGGTTCTTTCCTAAAACTTGAATCCTTTCCTCACCAGTATGTGTGCATCAGCAAGCAGCTGAATACTCAAGTGGTCACTTCTGCATGTCTCCTGAGTTCCCTGTCTATGCACCTCTTTTTTTCTCCAGTGCATTGTTCAGCAAACTCTAGGGGCTCTGATCTCTCTAGGCATTCAGCTTCAACTCTTTATTCATGGTGTCCTGCAGGCTCTGTTTAGGATTCTCTTACCACCACTGAGGATTAGAAGCTTTTTCAAGGCAGTAAATCAAGACAATTTCAGGGCATTTCTTGTTTGTTTCCCATCTCTCAGGACCACTGTCCTTTATGACCTGCTGTTCAATGTCTCGAAAGTGTTGTTTCAAATATATTTGCTCATTTTAAAAAATTGATTCAGGTGAGTGTTAGCGAAGGGGAAAATGTAGTGTCTGTTACTCCAGGTCTCCAAGTCTAGATAATGTTTTCATTTTTATTTTTCAACTTAAAAGATATTTTATGTAAACTGATTCATGAGTGTGGGAAAATAGATTCCATCCTTGATTATTAAATCACAGTCATTATCCCAAAGCTTATTGTGGCAGTATAGAAAGAGTTGTTTTACAAAATATTAATTTCTTCTCTGGGCAGGGGGTTGCTAGAGCTACATCTTTAATGACACTTACAGCAACAATGTTTTACATGTATGTTGTATATTCTGGTCTTCAAGGATTTGCATGCATTTTCTCATTTCATTATCTATGATTGAGGTCAGATTATTAAGGACAAGGTTGTTAATAAGTGATTTCAAAAATCCTGTGGTTTGCCCAATGTTGCACAGCTTATAACCATCAGTATAAGAGATGCCAATAATAACACACTTTACATTTATTTGGAAAGGTACTCAGCATTATGTGCATAATCTCATACAAACTTTCCCTCAAATATATGAGGAAGTGTTCTGTCCTTCCTGTTCTACAGATAATCAAACTAAAGCTTCAGAGCCATAGTACCTTACTCAAGCTTATCGGAAAGTGCCAGGGTTGGGTTTTGAACCCAGGTTGCGTCTTGAAATCCTACTCCATGCTTGGAACCTCAGTCTATCCTCCATGGCTTTGAGTCAGACCTGAGGCCCTTGTTGCCTTTGAACTCCTGTTTTAAAATTACCTCAACTGATTCAAAAGTGGCAATAAATCTATTTTAAAATGGACGAAAGGATATATATGCTTAGAAACACTGTTTCTTGTACTGTTATTTATGAAATTCAAGAGGTTGGTGACAATCCATGTTGGTGACAGTTATGCTGATTATTATTATTCAAAGAATATTATTTAAAGAGAGATAGTAATTTTCATGGTAATTCACAATTTGGTTAGCCTATTGTATGATCAATTATTTTATATGGCTATTCATTTCTCAGTTCTATCTAATGTTTTAATCTCTAGCTATCCTCCCACATTTAATACTTCCTATTGCTCTTCCCTTCCCTAGCTTTCTGTTTTGAAAAACAGTCACTCATGAGTACTTTATTTCTTAAATATTCCCAAGAGACTATTTACACACACACACACACACACATACACACACACACATACACACACAGAAACTCCTTCATCATTTTCTAAAAATCTGATCATTCGTACGCCCACTAGCTGCATTCTTTCTGTCTCCCTGATAACTGTATTATAAATCCTTTTTATATATTTATGCTTCTGTTACATTTTCTGACCAGTGTCTCCTTGTTTATTATGTTAGTCCACTGAATTCCTTATTAACACATCTTTCAGCTAGATGAAAAGTATCCATCTAATTCAAAAGCTATGTGTCAAAATGAAGGTTAGACTAGTAGTAGGGAATCACATTTAACAGAAGAGTCAAAAAGAGGTAAATAAAATTTCAAGAGAGAAAAAGAAATGGTAACCAGTAGTATGAGAAGTAATAGCAATGTTGTTATGTTGATTTTTTTTTCTTATGTAATTCCAGCATAATACCAGAGTGTTGATTAATGATGGGTACATACTCTTGTTATTGCATATAAGGGTAAAAGCAAATTGTTTTTAAGCTTTTTTTGTGTTTCATTTTTTCCTTCTTCCTTCCTTGGTTGCTCTCATTTTTCTTTCCTCCCTTCCTCTCTGTCATCTCCTATGTCCTTCACTTTGAGAACTACACCAAGTAACAAGTTTGGTGTTTTCCAAATGTCCTGGAAATTTCTGCAAATATGTACCATGGTCCTTATAGAAACTTGATAGCTCTAAGTCTGGTTCTGAAATTTGCTTTGTAGGTTATATCAGACTATAAATATATAAGCAAATATGGAAATAAGAAATTTTCATTAATGGTTGTCTCAGACATCTGTCTACAAGGAGGATTAAGAGCCAAAAGCATAGTATAACAAGGTCATTCTAGTGCTTCTAAAATAATTCATTTATCCCCAATCCACCAAAATCAGCATTATAAAAATTGGGATTTTTATCCTCAAATGTTAACATTTTCTTATAAAACATATTCATATTATTAGTAAAACAATAGTTTTTGAATAACAAATTTAAAGGCATGAATATTAAGCTTTACTGATTAATATACCTATACTCTAATAATATTGCTATACAAAGGATTTGGGCAGAATAACAGTATATCAATATTTCACATTCAATTTTAGGAAGAAATAAATGATATTATTAACTCAATCACTTAAAAATAATGCTGTGCATGTTTTGAAGGAAAAAATATGCTAGCCCTTATTTCTTAACATAAAGGAACATTTGTCACTCTTTTAAATTTTTGAATGTAATAAATATTAAAATTATTTACTTCATAATATCATATTTATGAAGAAAGGGTAATCCTAAATACTTATATACTAGGAAGATTATTCATTAAATAAATTTGCATTTTTCAAACTGATTTATCAAATAATAATGTCTACAATTATCAACATTCTCATGTTACTTTAAGAATTATCTAGAATTCTTTGACAATAAATCGATCTTAATAGTTATTTGAAAACAAATTAAAGCAGAACTTGCAAATTCCAATTGTACAAACATTTTTAAGCTTCAGTTCCAAAACATGAAATGATTTCAGAGTAATATTTCATTTAAAAAAAAACAAAGCAATTGAAACCCCTATTTTCCTTTTACTATGCATAAAAAACTTACTTTTGAAAACTTAAAAAATAGTTTTAAATCCCAATTTTATAGCAAATATTTCATGCAATAGGACTCTAACAAGGCTTCTAAGTAAGCATTAAAATGACCAACTGACGGTAAATTTCATCATTTAGTAAAAGAAAATTTGACAGCAAATTACTAGGTCTGATATGTGCATGCTACAGCATACTATGTTCAGAGTTAAAAAACAAAAAACAAAAAACAAAGTAAAATGCAATTACCCTAAAAGACATTTCAAGATTCTCTCCACCCCAGATATCCATTCCTGCATCGTAAGTTCCTATCTCTTCAAAGTAGTTTCTGTCAATAGAAAATAGGCCACCAGCCATAGTAGGGGTCCTAGTTGAAAAAAACAAAAACAAAAACAAAACAAAAACAAAAGAATATCTTTTGAAATCAATGTGTGGTGTTTAAGGAGACTGTAGCAAATATTTTTTGACATTTTAAATATAAAAAACTAGTATTTTAAAAGTTCAAACTAGAAACACAAAAACAAGTTGCAAGAGGTTTTAAGATTTAAAAATTACATTTTATTTCACATTTTCTATAAACTCACTTTAGATGAGTCTATTTCTGTCTTATATGTGATCAAAGAGCTATATGGAAGGAACACTGACCCCTTAAAACTGGGGCTTCTACATTCCTTCTGAAAGCCAAAGTAAGGTCACTTTGCACAGTCTTTAAAGAGATGAAGTAATTCTCAAACAGTCATGATCTTTGATAATATAATTATAAATCATTGAAAAATAAACCCTAGGAAACTAAGGACATGCTTTTTCTCTGAAAAGATTCGTACTCTAATTAAATATGAAAAGAAGTAAATGCTATATAAAATGCTTATATGAAATAAGTATCTAATTATAGTTACAAAATATTTTTACATGTACTTATTGTTTCTCTTTACCCACGTCAAAGGGTAGAATTTATTATCTGACCTATGGATAAACAAAAATCCTGTATGCTATTCAGCATTTTAGGACTTTATCATAAATTCCAAAACTTTTCCTTAGTAATAAAAGCCTTTATTTTTGTTTTTCATATTCAAGTTTTCTTACAGGATACAAGAAATTAGGCCTTAAGTTTTTAAAGGTCTAATTAATTTTCAAAAAGACTAATTAAGGACAATGGTTCATGTGTGAGCTACAGAAGTTTTTATACATAAACTGTATGAAATAATGATTAAAAAATTGTTCACAAATAGAACCAGATTGGGAATCATTATTTTTGAAGGGTTAGTTGTAATATTGTGGTTTCCAACCTCATAGCACATTAGCAGCATCAAAGCATCTATCAAAAAAGACATCCATGCTCAGTTACCTCCCTCCATGGATTCAGATTTAGCTGGCCTATGTAAGAACCCATGATAGCATGTACAGCTCCTGAGAAATTCTAATATACTATTAAAGAACAGAAACACTGATCTAATAACTTAGATTTTTATTGCTCGTGTCTGTGAGAATGTTAAAGAACCAACTATTTTGGTTTTCTTGAAACTGTATCCTCTGTCACAGGCTATGTTCATGTCTTCTAATTAAACAGTTTAGTTCATTGAAAATCCACCAAATAATATTATACTTGGACATCAACCATATTGCAAAATTCTCTATTTCTCCCTGTGCTCTCACTATTTTATACTCAGGTAATTAACTGTTCATCAGTTAGAGTAGCAGAACCTTGCTTAGTCTCAGAGCTGTTTTATTACTTTTGGTCTTGCTAGGTTCCTATCATGAACAGTATCATTGACCTTCTGAATTATAATGAGAAATACTAACAAAGCTAAACAGATGGTAATTATGGAGTAGCCATGACCTCACCTGATTGGGGTTTTGGAACTCTATAGCAATAACTACATAAGGTAATACAGTGCTAGAGAGTCTATTTAATAAAATTAGCAACAAAAATTGCTGCAATTATCCTATCATGATGCAACCAAATGCTTAAGAATGTTAAATGATGCATTTTAAATGATCAGTTCAGAGAGCATATCTATTTATCTGCTTATAAATAAAATACTAACACATTTTAATGTAAAAGCATGTGTTCAATTTCATCTTACTCTTGGTCATTATTCCTATAAATATGTGAGAAGTTCATGAAAAAATGGCTAGAAATAAACCATATTAGGCCATAAGAAAGACTCAAATAACATTCACATTCAGTTGAAGAGTAGCAAAAAATTAATAAGAGAAAAATCCTGCAAAAACAATTCTATATTTTCTGAAGACAGGTAATCTTAGAGAGGCTTGTGTGTGGGTACACGCATGTATATTTGTGTGTGTTGTGTTTGACATATTGATTGGCTCTTTCACAGTCTATAGACTGTGGTTCAGAATACATACTCCCTTTAGCCATGGTCATTGTCCTACTACATGTTCTGTTCTAATTAGACTGCTCTGTAGCGTCCCTAATGAACTATTTATATGTGCCTATATGCAGCTTGAAGTTCTCTAAAAAAAGACAAACTTTGATTGTAGTTGAATTATCTGAGGTTATTTGTTTTTCAAGTTTGTGTCCATACAGTATTAAAACCACTGACCAATCAATCATCTAGTTTGGGAGTGGGTAATCATCTCAATGTAAACACCATCTAATACAAAGTAGGCCAAGATGAATTGAATGAACAGAAGTAAAGCACTTAGCTCAGTGTCCAGCACATCAAAAAGAGTTAACAAGATTTGATTATTTATCTTTGCTATTGTTATTGATGTTAGTCATTCACACAACAGCCATGAGTGTCCTTCACTTAATTTTGGCTCCCCATATACATACTCTTTGTGTTGCAAAATAATTCATAACTACTTTTTATCTATCATATTGCCTCTGAGATCTGCCTCTGAACACAACTTCCTACTCATTAACCTCTCCTATTTCCATCAAAGTTGTTTTTCATCCCTAATTAATAGTTATGGTTCCTTAATTAATTCATATTCTCATATTAATAACCTCCTTAGGGAATTTTTTCTTCCCTCCTCCCAACCCCTCTCCAAGGTTCTACCATGTCAGTGAAAAATAAGCTTAGTACCCTTGGTTCTCTGTTTTTGCACTGTCTGACCCAATTTTCTTTCTGTAATTCCATGTGCCTGAATAAATTTACCATTTACTTCATCTACATCTGCTACTAAGACCCAGAGCATCTCTGGAAAGTAATGAGATAAGGCCAACTGATTATACTACAAGCCCATGTCATTGATTGGATTGTCTGCTTAATTCACAAACTGATAATAATCCTTTTATCCAAGTTTATTGATACATGTCTAATTTTTGAATAAATGTTTTCCAAAAATTTTGAATTCACTTAAGAACCCTGGAATTAGGGATATGCATGAAGTCTAAACTCCCTCAAACTCTAGCTCAATATGTTTGAGTCTTCCTCATGACCCCCTACTTCCTCTTGTGTTTCAGGAAAGAATACCTCTGCTCCTATGCTGTGGGCTAACATTCACACTCCTGCTCTTCACCCAGCTCTCTCCTGCATACTCTGTCAGCCACTTGTTCACTGACTACTGCATTTAGTTTTATGCCTTTGAATTTTTAGATTGTCCCCTGGAGCTTACAAACATGCTCAGTTAAGTTCTCTCCTAAACCAAAATACATCTTCATTCCATTACACAGCTCATTCAAACTAGGGACATAACGTTTCTATTCCCTCTACTGGTAACCTTATCTAAAGGATACTTTCTACCTACCCCCTCAACTCCTCTTGACCTTCAAACTAAGAAGCTTGGATCCTGCTCCCATTTCTGTAATAATTTCTTTCTGGAATTTCATTGTTCTATAGAGGTCATTCCTTCTACTGATTTGACCATTCATTTTGTAATTTTTACTGACATCCCTTCCTTTTCCTCCCTCTCTAGCTATAAGACTTTGGACATATTCTTAGTTTATATGTATCACATGAGTATGATATGTCACTAAAATGTTTTTGTGGATATATGCACTTAGCAATTATCTTCTCTTGTCCAAAACGGGTCTTTAGAAGGGTATCTCAAGGGTGTCTCTTGGCATGTTACTCTTTCTCTGCTCTTTACCTAGAGAGGATCATTTGCACATGCCTATAACTGTTTTTATGAGGCTGGTGCCTTATCTCTTCTCACTTCCCTGGATGTCAATTTTGCTTTTCTAATTACTCATTTTTATTTCCTCCCAAAACCCTCCAAATTCTATAGGCTGTTATTTGTAGTGGTTAAATAACTCAATTTCTAGACTACTGGTATTTAGGTCTATTTTAGTAACATGTCTCAAATATTATTCATAATTAAGATGATGGGTAAAGATGAGTATTTTATTATTATCACACTTGTATAAAGTGTGTCTTGAAGAACTTAAGTCTTCACATACTTCTGAATTTTTACATTATACAATACAATGATTTTATTTGGTTAAGTATTTTCCAGACGTAGAAACCAAAGGAAAATGAAATGCTATGAGTTTCCCTTCCTGCCTCATCCTGTCCACCGCACTCAGTACAGAGAGCTCAGTGGAGAGAAAGAAAGCAAAGGCACAAACCCTCTTCTACTGCAGAAGTGAATGTCAAATGTGTATGTAATTTAAAAATTTTACAGCTGAAAAGTGAAAATTTTGGTGGAATATTGTACACTGCACAATCATTTGCACATACAATTGTGGATAAAGATGCAGCTTTCTGTAAAGAGGAAACTTATTTCAAGGGCTTATGCTGGCTTAAACTCTGAGCAGTGAAGCTTGCTCAAGTCCTTAGAGTCTATGAAACAAAAAAGAAGTCAATACTATTTGTAAAGGTTGAGAAAAAATATAAAGTTCTGTTTAGTATAGGAAAATGAGTTGTTTTGGAGTCCAAGAACCCATTTACCAATAAGTGTGTGAATTAAATACCTTAACCTGTGCTTAAAGACCCTCTTTCTAATAAAAAAAAAAGCAGTTACTTTCTACCTTTTCTCTCAGTAGCTTTTTATAATCTTCATAAACTGATACAACCCCAAGCTTCCAAAAGGATGTGCAATAGTTGGTACAAACTTAATAGTTCCTTTGATTTTTCTTTTTTGCCTAAGAAGGTTCAAAATAAATAATAATACTAGCTGGAATCAGATGCATGACAATGCTTTGACTAATATGATAACATTATTCAGTATATACATGTGATATTTAATTCACATTCCTGAATCTTTCTATGGGATCTCTGCTATCTTCTCATGTCTACAGTCTGCTAAGAAAAGTCTTGCAAAATATCCCCTAAACCATTAGGAAACAATATAAAATAAATATACTCTTTCTATATAGAATATAGGTTCAAAGATTCCATCTGAGATGAAAATTTTTCTCTCTCTTGAAATCAACATATTTTAGATTTTAATATGAGGATTTAAGAATATCAAACAGTTGAACATCCCAATTTCAAATCTTTTCTTTCAAAGCATTTGTTATGTTCATGATGTTTTTTTTTTTTTTTTTTTTTTTTTTTTTTTTTTTTAATTTTTTATTGTGGGTTGTTCAAAACATTACAAATTTCTTGACATATCATATTCCACACTTTGATTCTAGTATGTTCATGATGTTGATCCTTCCCTATGCCAGTATTTTAATATCTCCAATTTGTATAGAAGTATCTTAAAGGTTTTGCTGACATCTATTTGTTTCTTTTCTCAAATATGAAAGTATTTGGGTTGAGAAAAGCTGAATGAAGAAAATCTAGTAGATTTAAAATTAGAAACGAACTGTTAGTTACTATTAAGTATAAGATACTTAATTTTTACATAAGAAATTACAGAATAAAATGTTTATCATTGATTATACTAACTAGAGAAATTATAAGTTAAAGACAATGACAAAAATTTCTTATTTTGGAGGAGGGAAGAATCACAGCACTAGCAGGAGGTAGCAAGAAACCAATTATATATTATTAAGCAAATTTCATAAAAACCAAATTTTATATTATCAAATTGCTAAGTTCTGAAAAATATACATCATATGAAAAGAGTATAGGTTAAAAAATAAAAAAAATAATTGGTAAAAAATAAAAAATAATAAAGTGTAAATAAACCTTAATTCAGTTTTGCTGCCAAATAAATAGTGGGGGAGCTAAGTAAGTGAGACTTTAGCAGACATTAAGACTTTTATTTGTGAGAAAAAGAATACCTTAATTGCTTTGGGAAGTACTGATAAATATCATCAGTGTCAAATTTTAAATGAATCTGGAAAAAAGTACTCTGGTAGGAAATAAGCAAAAATATTTAAAGAGGTGGCTGGCTAATTGTTTTTATACTTTTAGGTTCTTTTCACATCTATTTTGCAACACGTGTGTTCCATAAATTTATCATCTACTTACTGCCAAATATATTATTCATTAAATAGTTTACAACACTTCATGAGTTAAACAAGGCATGGAGGAAAATTCCTATTTTATACTTAAAAGAGTGGATCAATTCCTCAAATGGAGAAGCCTGCAAAAACTTGACCCTACCCAACTAATTCAATACTTCTTCTGTGATCACAACACTAGAAGGATTCAGAAGACAATGCATATGAACACCCTGAGCCTTTAATAATATGAAGACACAGCAGTTGCAGTTCAAGATTCTATCAATCATGCTATTTAATTTATTTGATATTTTTAAGAAATTCCTAATTCTAAATAAGTACAAAATAGATGCATGAGTTGAGACTAATGTTGATAAAATGGGATGTATAATAAGTAAGTAAAATATGTCAGGAATAAAATCTAATAATTAAATTTATGTTTGATTCATTAGAATAGCTAAGGACTAATAAAAAATCTAAAACTCCTTTGTTTTACTTTAGAATATGCTTAACGTGGTACTCCACATAAGAATGAAAGAAATCATATTAAGAATATGAATAATGACAAAGTGTAAGTGTCCATAAAGTAAGATATGGAGAGTAAAAAAAGTTAAACAGATTTGAAAAATAACCAGTAGGTTTCTAATTAGGAAATCTTTTTTAAACATTCAGAAATTAAAGGGAAAATGAATATCTTTATTACTATTTATTAAGGGTCACTTATAGGGCATAATTAAAAGACTAATGCAATCCATAAGATTTAAGTCAGGTTCTTTTCCAGAACTATTCATCGCTCTAGTAGTACACACAATTAACTCCTATGGAGCCACCCTCAGACCTCATATTCAGGCCTCTCCCTCTCTCTCATCTAGCATACATATGACCAATGCCAGAGCATGAACAACATTAGAACAGAGATCTCTTTATTGATGTTTGTATGTGAAAAATCTAGCACAGTGCTGACCAGTGTGTGTGTAAGTATGTTTGCCTGTGAAATCAGACTCATCTCAATAGCTTAAACCAAATCATGTTAATTTTTGTGTTAATAAAAATATATATAGTGTCCTCAGATTTACTAAATGATTTGTAGGATTATCTGCATTTTCAAATCATTTTGTTATTCTTTGTATTTCATTAGGCAACATAAATGTGTATTCTTGGAGGGCTAATGTTCTTGATAAGTTTCAAACTCAAACATTCCTCAAGTTGAGGGTCACACATTTAAAAGGTTAAAGCCAAACAAAGTTATTCATGCAAAGTCAATTGGTTGCAGTAAATGTATTTCTCTCAACTTTGCTTGGCACACAGATGCTGAGAAATATTTCTCCAAGTATATGAATGGTGACAAGTAGCAACAGACCCTCAGGCTCAGAGTCTGAGACACACTTATAGGAGTTTTAAGGGACTAGGCTAAACTTTCCAGTTAATTTCATATGGGCATTTTCTATTTAGCTCTACCTAATGGTGCCAAGTAAGAATAAGGAAATATTGTGGCAAGATTCTTTAACTTCTCAATAGCTGGAAACCCAGATATTATTTAATACTTCTCATTTACAACTGATGCTAATTTTTGAAAAGACAAAACATTACGTAGTACAACTAAAACACAACTACCAGGCATTTTTTTGGCACACAAGCTCCTAGTTATGACCTCTGGCTTAACAATTTGTGTACTCTATTGTTGCATGCATAATTGAGACATTCCTAAAAACTCATACAATTTACTAACATGTCAAGAGACTTTACTGATTAAATCAGACTAAATATTCAGGACTCATGCTATTATTCCATACTCATAATTTAAAAACTTACTTCACATATTCCATCTATTATGAGAAAGAAAACACTAAGGACTAGAGACTGACCCCCCCCAAAATAAGTATAACCATTATTAGCTGGACTCTAAATGTAGTATCACTGAATGTAGGCCACCAGTTCAAGTTGGTACTATTTGCAGATACATGATTGTATTTCTATATGATGACCAGCCAAGTATGATGACTACAAAGTACTGTCATTAGTGACATTTGAAATGAAGCAATCCACTAAGAAAACTAAAATTTTAACCTCATTTTAATCACTTTAGCTATTCAGAATTCTGTTAATCATGTGGGAAAAAAATTATCTCCAACACCTGGAATGATTTATCTGTTTGTATGAATGTGAGAAAAATGATCACATCTTCAAGTAATAGATTACAAGTACAAAGAAAGTTCACATCACAGCTATGCTGATGAAAATTACCTGCAGGCTGTTACAACTGAGCCAGTGAATTAATTAACCTTTTGCAATAAAAATCTAGAAACTTCAGCAGACACTGCAGTTTCTCCAGTTCTCTTCCTCTAGCTTCTTCAGTATTTTAGAAAATGAAATGGTGTGTAGTTACTAGGCAAATAAAATGCTGAGACTTTTATCAGTTCTCACTTCAATAAAACCACATGAATTCTGGTTAAATACAGAGAGCTGGGTGATTCATCTTTTGTTTTAGTTAATGAAAAATTAGTAATTATGGTTGATTTCTGTGTAGATCTTTACGTCAATGAATCAGATCAGTAATTTCGTACTATGAATGATAGCTACCTTAATTATGTATCTTTTGACTCTGAGAAAATGAAGTTTTAAAAAATCTTGTTTTTTAAAAACAAGTACAAATGTGTATCCTTATAAAATTCATTTTCAAATCAATAAACACATTACTTATATTTAAGTGCATTGGCCAAGCATTTTGATATTTTTCATTTGGGCTTTGAAGCTTAAAAACCAGCTAACACTAAATGAAGCCAGGATCTAGCTAAAGAGGATTTCTAATAATGGTGGTATTATGTATGAGACATTGTATTTACTCAGGTTGTTAAGGGTAACTATTATTAGAACTGGGTGAAAGTGATGATGACACAAGACTTAAAAACCACTAAATTATGCTTTAAATATTGACATGATCATTTACTTGTCGTTATGCAAATTTTAGGAGTCACATTCCATTCTAGTTGATGGGGTAGTATTTCCTTAAGAAGTTAATAGCTCATAATTTTTTATTACTCAATAACAAGTAATTAGAGCTGCTCTCCTCTATTAGACAATTTTTAAGATTAGTTTTTGATTATTAAGTAGTTAACAATGAATAGATCATGCTCTCAGTAGTTTGCCAGAAAGTATTTTTAATAGAATGGATTATATGTATGTTATTTTAGAATTTTAGGATATTTCTCTATTGTTACAATAGAATGATGATTTGCCAAATTCAACTTTAAAGAGTTAAATTAGTGAATATTTCCTCCAAAAATTTTTAGGAAACCAATTTTTGATTGTAGGTAAGAAGTACACAGCAATGTGTTAAATTAGGAAGGTGATACTTTTGTGATAATAATACTTATCTAGACAACCAAATATGCATAATATTCTTTTTTTATTAAGGGAACATAAATATTTTACTAAAAATATTCCAAATAAATAGCCATTTGAAGTAATTTGAAACCAACAATAAATCCTTCAAAATTGTTAATAAAGTTTTCCATATGGTTCTTTACATTGTCTCTAAATGAAGATAACCATTTAAAGGATGATAAATTTAGATATGTACCAAAACATTTTTTGTTAATTCAATTTTGAGAATATGTCTACTATGAAGTATAAACTTCTAAATAAGACATATATTTCCTTGATGTATCCAGTGTTGCACATTCCTGTCACATAAAATTTGTAGTAAATATATTTTGAATATAAGAATACATAAACCTTTAAATCATATCTGGCATTTCTACAAATAGTTCAGTTTTCCCATATTAACTTAAAGTAGATTTAATATCATATGCATACATTTTACCTTTTACAATCATGTATGTATACACAGGAATAATAAATTTAGGACTGTAGAATGATAAATATTAGAACAAAAATTTATAATATTATTTAACTTTTTTAGAAACACCATGCTACTCATTTTTTGGTATGACTTACCTGACAGGCAACGTTCTGTCTCCTTTCCTCCTATCCATTTCTCTTTGGGGAACAGGATACCAGCGGAAATTTAGTTTCCAATTAAAACCCCCATAAGTCATATCTGACCCAGCCATATATTCAAAGGTATCGTCACTAATCACATCAATGATGGGGCATACGACTGTTTTCCTGAAGAAAAATTAAAACCAGTTTACATATAAACGATCATTTAAATACTACATTAGCTTCTTTAAATTGGTTTTAGCGGCTAAGATATAATTTAATTATTTTGTGACTTAAGTATGCCTTAATTTTATTTTGTCCTTTTTCTCTAGGAAATTATTTCCTTTTATTATATCTTTCTGATGGTAAACTTTATGTTATCATGTAAAATCTAATCAAATACATGAATTGACCTTCAAGTTGATTTCCAAGTGTATGCCAAGTACTAACTCAGCAGGGTAAGAATGATCTATTTCTTATAAAACCTCCACCCACAGCATGATTAGTAGATTCATTTTGAGATTATGCATCATTTCAGCTACAGCCCACTGAAAAGTGATAGAATACAGAGAGAGAGGGAAATGGATGCTAAAAAATTGGTCTGATAATTTGCCTTTCAAATTGGATTGGTCATGTTAAAGTAAGGATTCTAAGAAAATCTTCATGAAGAAAACACCTACTAGGAAACACAACAAACAGAAACAATTAACGTCACGAACTATCAGAATAAGTAAAGCTTCCCATGAAGAAAAACAGGTTTATGACAATTTCTGAGTCAACTGTCCTATAACTAAGAATTTCCAATTGTCAACAATCCAGATGAAATTTCAAGACAGGGAAACATTAGCCATTTTAGTCTCATGTTTTCTCCTACTCCTAAAGTTAGAAGAAAGCCAGGATGTTTTATGTTCTTGATAGTAACTTTTAAGATGGTAGGTTTTAGAACACTTTACTTGGGGAAATCATTAGGTACACTTTTAATCTGTTTTGCCTTCTCTCACTCTTCTCCTACTCCAAGTTTATGTGTTTTCTTGTGGGCTAAACTTTCTGTCATCTACACAATTAAAAGTTCAGGTCTCCCCAGGATTGCATTGATTGTAGCTAATTCTGAAAAACAGAGGTGTTTTTCTTACTGGGTAGGAGACAAATATACAAACAGGCTCCAAAGTAACCCATAGATGTAGAAAGAAATGAAGCATTGCCCATTATTTCTTCTTGTTTTGTAACACTAGGATCATCAAAACTATTAACTTAGTTTCATGTTTCACACTGTTGGCCAACCCTGAAGTTCTCTGAAATCAGCATGATGCACCTGGCCTTGGAAAAGTTTCTTGGTGATGCTAAACACAACAAAGTAATTATCTTTCTTTCCTCATTAGATTTAACTTGGAGAAAGAAAAAATTAGATCTAATAACTTTGAACAGACTTTATTATCTAGTTATGGCAATATTAGAATTTATAATCAGGACAAGAGATAGAAGTTCACTATATACAAATGTAATACAAATACATTGTTAGTAAAAATGAATGTGCCTAATGTATGACCATAATGAAACATTATATTAAAAAATTTCTGAAGTTGAATGTGAAATGCATGCATTTACAAAGCAGTATAACATTTGAAAAGTTGCCAGTAATGCATTTTATGTTCCAGATTCATTCTACTTTGCCCGTCTTACTCTCCTGTGGGTACTGTACAACACACAAAATGTTATTAGCTGTGTATTACCTTCAGTTGACTAAAAGGTTCTCACTGCTTTCTTGAACTGCTGTGGTTCATTTTACTGACAGCCTCTATTCATCTTCCTGGGCAAGTTCCAAATCCTGCCATTTATGTGATATGGTTGAACAAGCTCAGACTAAGCAGCCCCTCACTGGAGCATCTAATTAAAAACTAATTCTAGAAAGACTCTTTTACTATATATGATAAATGTATAAATGACTTGGTATGTAATGCTTTGTTATTGCATCAGATGGCATTTAGTGTTAGTTATGTTCATTAAGCTTCATCATCAGAAATGAATGTAGATATGTATGAGGATTCTTAACTTTTGTAGAGAGTTACTCAGTTTTAAAATTTCACAATTTATTTGTAGAAAGTGCCAATACTATTAAAATTATGATCTCTGATTTTTTAAATCCTGATTTATTTTGGCAGTGTGTGTGTGTGTGTGTGTGTGTGTGTGTTTATTCTTAAAAACCTCAAGGTGATTTTGAACTAGACTCTGACTGAGGGCACTGATGCAGTAAGCGAACACTGGTGAGAGAGTAGGAAGAACTAAACAATTGTTCCCAGTACTGCTAACTACTGGCACAAGGTATGTAACTTCTTTATTACTCCGTATTATAAGGTACCAATAAGAACATCTACATTACCTACTTCACACTGGGTTTGTGAGGACACAGAAATTTGCTTTGGAAATGTGCTTATAACATATTGTACTATTTTAAATTGATTTCCTTCACTTAAAAAGTAAATATTCAGCACATTTTTATGGTTTGAATTATTTATTTCTTAAACACTAATGTTCAACATGAATAAGCCAATCTTTTGTATTAAATAAAGAAAAACATTTAAAAAAAGAAAAGAAAAGAAAAAAAAACAGTGAAGTAAACTTTCTGAAAATAGCAACTTGGAAGAGAATTCTGATGGACAGCTGAAACTGTCCTCACAGGTTCAGTCATAACCCATGCAGACATAACACAGGAATCCCTACCTGTCTTCCTTTATTCTCGCCAGCAAGGGCTCCAGCCACCCTAATGTGCATTCACAGTGTGCATCCAGAAAAGTTATGACCTGCCCTTTTGAAGCAGCTGCTCCTCGAAGACGTGCTCGTATTAACCCAGAGCGCTCTTCCATCCTGATAATTTTTACTGGTACTTCTAAATTTTTCACATAATTCTCTAATGTCAACTTGAGAAAATCTGTAACATGCAATGAGAATTTTTTTTATTTCAAAAAAAATTGAAACTTTTAATACAGAGTAGAGATACTTTCAAGGCAGAAATACAACATACAGAAATGGTGACCAAATCTTAGAATTTTTTTTTTGGCACTAGGGAAAATAATATAAGAAATTTCACTAGCCAATTAATGTTATATATTCAGTGATATAAATTTTAAATATAAGCAATTGATGGGGGAAAAAAGAAATATATTTGAAAGTCATTTTGGCTGATCTCTTAGGTTAATAAAGGCCAAAAAGAATAATAACAAAACTGAATTAGTTAATTTTTCCTGGAGTGAACACTGTCAAAATATACTGATGAAAATTTGATAGGATGTTGATTGATTATAAAGCAAAATACAGATCACTGCTTGGCTATCTTTTTGATCATAATAAAGCTTTATAATAAAATAAGTACAAGAACAATATTTTATACCTCTTTCACTGGCATCATCTACCAAGATGACCTCAGAGAGCAGGTAGTGTGGGGAGCGATTTATAACACTGTAAACAGTTCTAAGGAGAGTGCTCCAAGCCTCATTATGAAACACAATGACTACACTTGTGTTGGGAAGTTCATCAGGGTAGACTTTTGTCTTGCATCTGGAAAAAAATAAGAAGAATGTTAATAAACTCATTTTTCATTCTGATCATCATGAGAAAAAGTATTCATAATAACACAACTTTAGACTTGAAAGCCCCTTACCAAGGAAACATTTTATGAATATCTGAAATCATTTTCCTTTTTAAAAAGTGCTATGAGTAATCACTTGGCCTTTTGAAAATTAAATATGCATAATTACTAATATTTTATTTTAACTCCTGCAGAGAACAAAGCAGCATGATTTCCACAAGTCTAAGAAAAAAAATCTGAGAAAGCTAAAATAACATTCTGAGACTGTCAATAAAAGACCCAGTACAACAGAGACAGTTGAATTCATTTAGTGGCTGTAATTTTTATTCTTTGTTTGGGAAAAAAAATAATATTATATAAGTCAAAAATTCACAAGAACATAAATAGACATGATTCTACAGGGATTTAAAGCATGTAAAATGGAGATTGCTTTTCTGTTCTAGAATCAAATCATGTATGATTTCGATTCCATTTGAAACTGCCATAAACCATGACTAATTTCAAGACAAGGTTTGGGAGTCAAGATCTTGTCCCTAAAATTTCCTGTTTACTGGAGATCAGAAAAAAATAATTGATTAGCAGCACTTCTGAAATTTTAACATGCATGGACACCGCCTGAGGAAAAGAGTGCGCTGTGACCTTCACCAGCGCCTGGAGGGCTGACATTTGGCTCAATGGCAGCATCCTCTTTGGGATGCCTGGTGCTAATCCACCTGCTGGTGGCACTCCTCTGCATGGTCATGTGGGCTGTGGTCAATAGGATCTGGTGGAGCTGCCTGTAGTGGTGAGAGACCTCTCAGAGGTTTGGAGTCTCCCCTCATACATTTCTGTGCTTGAGGTTCTGGGGAACCTGGGTCTACTGGTGGTGATTCTGTGGAGGCAAGGGTGAGCCAGTCCTCATAAAGGTCCCTGGTAGTGCTGTGAGGTCTCTCTCTGTGGGGCTTGCTCTTTGGGGCCTACCTGATGTCGCTGGCAATCTAGAACCCCTACCCTTCCCAGGTGTGTACCTCTGTAGGCATGGTCCTTGTGGTGGTGTTGTGGGTACTATGTACAGGTATGTTCCCCTGTGTCAAGGTGGCAATTAGCTCCATGCTGCATGGTGGGGGGCAGCCGGCACTGATAGCAGCTGGCATGTGTATAAGCAGGTTGTCTCACTGCTCAGTGCTGTTACATGTTCCCTCCTAGCAGCATCTATCATATATTCCTCAGAGAAGACTGTGTGGACCTGTGTGGTCCCTGAGCTTAGAAAGGTGGGACTCTCCCCACCCTTTGCATGATTCTGTATTTCTAAATAGCTCCCAGGTAATTCAGATGCTGCTGGTCTCAGGAAGACACAGATTCATGAAGAACTATAAAATGATTGTCATTATTTCTGACCTTCATGATTTCAGAAAAATTTTCAACTTTGCTTACACATCCAAATATGTCCAGATTTTACCTTTCAAGCAATTGCTACAAAAAGGTAGGTTTGATAAATAATATGTAAAATAGTCTAAGTGATCATGCCAGATTTCACATGCAGAGGGTATTCCCCATTAATTTGTCAACAATCAGACATTTCTGTCATGTAATTTTAAATCATCATGATTATAGAGTGCAAAATATTCCACAGGGCATCTGGAGCAAAATAGAAGTATATTCATGTTAAGCTATTTTTTTTTTTTAAATATAAGGTACGGAGGGCCTAAACAATGAAAATAATTCTATAAGATAATATAAACCAGATACCCCCTGCTACTTGTGACAACCTATTATATTACACAACACAAAGTGGCATTATTAAAATTTGTTTACTTCACAAGTTAGTGAAAAACCCTAATAAAATGTTGAAGATGAAGGCACATAATAAAACAGAATATATTGTGTGCCTGTCTCAAATGATCTTCTAATCATTTAAAACAGCATAAAAATGGCCTGTTCATTGAAATCTGCACAATACTCAGTTAAGAATGGGCATAACCCATAATCATAACAATTTTCAGCATATTTTTATTTAAAAAGTATTTACTAAGTATCTACAATACAAAAGATACTGTGCCCTAGAAAATCAAAATGTAAATTTTGGAAGAAGCATTTGAACTCATAGCTATCTCTTCCTGTTCTGGTGGTAAAATTCAATTGATCTCCCTTGCCTGTTTATCATTTGACTTGTATCTCCAGGCAGCTCAACATGATGTGGCAGAGAAAGCCATCTAGGTAGGTGAGATGGGCTTGGCTCTTTAATTCTATCACTGTCCTCAAAACCTACTCTTCTGCCTTAACAAAAAATCCCATTACTTTCAGCATGCCATGCACAAAGTATGACAGAGATCATCATAAATAAATCATTAAATTTGGAAAAAATAGGATGTAGACAGTCTAATAGTCAGCAACCACAGACTTGACCCAAGACTTTAAGTGAATAAAGTGTTCTCAATGTCATTTAGAATAAAAGTGACTTTTTTTAAAATAGAAATTTCATTTGTTACACTAAATGCCAACTAAGAACATATGGATGAGATATGAATATAGATAAATTATTTAAAATATCAAACTAAAAGCAGATATTTAGGTCCAACATCTTAAACCATTTATCAAGTTTATTTTTGTGGTTAAAAATTCACTTACAAGTGTTAATTTTATATTCATTATATGTATCAAAGTTATAATGAGCTAATTTACTATTAATGTAGCTACTGTATTAACTTAGAGCAAATATCCACTGTCATTATTTAATGTAGCATAAAAATAAAATGTGAATAATAGGTTTATTAATTCTTCTTCTTATATAAACAGTCATTCATCAAAGAGAATAAAGTTTCAGTATATTAGATGAATAAATTCTAGAAATCTAATGTATAGTACGATGATTACATTAATGATTCTGCACTATATACTTAAATTGTACTAAGAGAATTCATCTTGCTTTCCTACCACAAAAAATTATAGTGATACATTGAGCTGATTATTTTAATTAGCTTGATTATAGTAATCATTTCCTAATAGTTATGTATATCAATACTTCAAGGTTTACATCTAAGTTTTCAAGTATACTGCAATAACTTTGGAAAATGTCATTTATCAGAGAAGACTTAGTTAATAATAAAATAATTAGTAGGATAAATTTTAAACTATACACATTAAATATTTTCTATGTCACTTTATCCAGTTATCTCAAATACACACATCCTTAGGAACAAGAGTTATAATTTTTATGATATCTAATGGATTTGTGATATATTGCACTGGTGTTAATGTTTGTATTTTATCAAAGTCATTGTGTTCTAAGTTACAACATGATTTTATGTACCACTTGGAAAGAAAAATAATGCTGCCAAATAAACTATAGCACAATTTTCTCTTATCAGTAGAATCTATTTACTACCTAAATAGAGAGAGGGTTGCCTTGGCACACATCTGTAATCCCAGCTATTCTGGAAGCTAAGGGAGGAGGATCACAAGTTCAAGGCCAACATCAGCAACTTAGAAAAACTGTTTCAAAAAAAAAAAAAAAAAGCCTAGGGATGTAGCTCAGTCGTACAGCACCTCTAGGTTCAATTTTCCGTACCACAAAAGCAACCAAACAAATACCTAAGTTAAATAGAGCTTACAGAAGAGCTTTCATTTGGAACTTGATGTCAATGAATATTGCCATGCTTAATTTTTGAGTCAACCACATAGTGTCCTGGTGCTTTTTAAAGATTTTTTTCACCAGTTTCAAGCTGCATTGCATAGCAGATGGGAGGCAAGTGCTCAGTTCATATCTCAGTAGTAAAATATAAAAGTTTTACTCTGTGGATATCTTGCATGGTACAATAAAGTTTTTATAAATTTATATAAAGTGATTTTCAAACTTTAAGGTAAAAATGAATTATATAGGGATTTTGTTAAAATCCAGATTCTGATGTGTAGATCTGAGATGAGCCCACGGTTCAGCATCTCTAACAAGATCCTTAGAGATGCCAACACAGTTGGTCCTGAGTTGACATAAAAAGCAAGATTACATAACTTGCTTAGCTGATGATTAGCAAAAAGAGATAAAAAATAAAAATACAGAATTGTAGTCAATGTTTTAACAATAAAATGTTTGCTTCATCATATGAAATTTAACTTTGCTGTAATTTTGTGCCTTTCTTTTAAGACAATTCTTTATTCTAGTCTAAATCATAATGCAATCAATATGAAGAAGTGTCAACTGACAATTTCAACACATATAAAGAGTACACATAACTGAACTGACACAAAGACTATACAAGCAGCAAGAACCATGTTCACACATGCTTAAGAAATACTGCCTATGTATCTCTTTCCAACTGGTTGAAAATATTATAACTAACTATTGATTATATAACTCATCATGATTTTAGACATGCAAAATGAAAAAAAAATGTACATCTCAGAACAGGTAAATAAAATGTTTTGATTAACATGCTGAAGAAAAAGTACTCCATGTAATGTTTATTTTAGAACATGCCGTGGGCTGGGGATGTGGCTCAAGTGGTAATGTGCTGGCCTGGCATGCGCGGGGCACTGGGTTTGATCCTCAGCACCACATACAAATAAAATAAAGATATTGTGTCCACTGAAAACTAAAATAAATAAATAAAATAAATATTAAAAAATTCTTTCTCTCTCTTAAAAAAATGAACATGCCATTAGTATTTCAGCAGGCAGAATTTTTAACTCATCAATTTTTTTCCATAAATAATTGAAAACCAACAAAACAAGAAAATCATTTGAGAAAAACGTGTCTAAGTTCTTCAAATAAAATAAATAGATGTGACTTAGGTAATGGTCTCCTCTCTCAGATAACATGAAAAAAAAGTTGTGATATTAAAAGAATAATTCCACCACGTTTCAACTCACTTTGTATATCTTTCACATAAGATTAAAATAGGTATTTTTAAAGGTTTCATCCAAAATATGTGATAGATATTGCTTAATATACATAGCAGAGTATAAAGCTCCAATGTTAAATTGGAAGCTCTAG